CATGTGGATTCGTTTTCCGATGGCATTTCAGGTTAGCTTCCCAAATTTCTGCTACCGCAGTTGTCGGTTGATTGGTCAAACCACCAACACTGACATAAAAACTTGGCAAGTTGACTTGGGTGTCACACCAATAGGTGGTTCCGCTTATGTCTCGCTTGCGTTTACACAGTTATTTTTATTAAGTACTTTTCTTGGTTATTCGCATTTTGTTTTTTCGGACCGCTTGCCCGGTACTGACGATGTCCAATAGGCTGAATCAGCTGTCTACCGGTGACTCTTAAATTGAAATCATTATGGGAATGATCAGAATGGTTCTTATCTATTTATCGTTTGATTTTCATAGAATTATTTTCCAGCATTAGCCTTTCTCGAATTCATATAATTTATAGAAACATGTGGATTCATTTAGCGATGATTTTCCAAGTTAGCTTTCCAAATTTCTGCTGCCGCAGTTGTAGGTTGATTGGTCAAACCATCAACACTGACAAAAACTTGGCAAGTTGACTTAGGTGTCATACCAATAGGTGGTTCCACTTATGTTTCGCTTGCGTTTACGCAGTTGTCGGTTGAAAAAGCTAGTGTTGTTACCAGTGTCCAATACCCGTTAGTAAAGGAAGCAATAGATTATGCTGTAGACGACCCCGCCCTATATAGAAGGCCCCGACACTCTGTCGAATGACGCCCTCATTTCCCACCATAGATTTTTCATCCATCCCACCCTAGCCTGGTAGGGGTACCCCGTGAAGGGCGGCACTGATGTCTGAGGACTTCATATCGCCAGAATTACCTCAGTCATGAACTCATTTGTCGTTCTTCGACAAAAATCAGCTAAAAGGGTAATGGAGCTGGGCTCCAACCTGAATGAAACGAAGACGCTTGGTCGGTAATGTCCGGTATTTCAAGCAAAGACAAAGAGGGAAATACTTAGAATCAAGATAAAACAAAAACGGCATCGGGCCTGGTAGGCGGAGCCTGCGTGCGCTCGCCGCGTTCGTATAAATATAACGCGCCGCGAGCTCGTTTGTATCTCAGACAAATCTCAGCCACAAGAGTAAGGGAGCTGGGCTCCAACCTGATGAACCCGAAGATGACACAAACAAATAACGATCATCAGGTCGCCCGTTAACGGTTTCGTCCCCCGTTAACGGATGAACAAATTTTTCATCCATCCCACCCCAGCCAGGTAGGAGTACCCCGTGAAAGGCGGTACTGATGTATGAGGACTTTCATACCGCCACCATCTCTTTAGTCATGAACCCATTTGTCTTT